GCGGAAAAATTCCAAACAATTCCCAAAGACATTCCAGAAAAAAAAATACCTCAAAATTCCCGAAAAATCCCCCCAAAATTCCAAAATAATCCCCCAAAAATCCCGAAAAATCCCCCAAAATACCAGAAAAATCCCCAAAAAATTCCAGACAAATCCCCAAAAAATTCCTGAAAAAAAATCCCAAAATAATTCCCCCCCCCCCAAAAAAAATTCCCAAATCCCGGAATTCCCGCTCACCTCGTGCGCGAGCAGCAGCAGCGACTCCTGAACCGCGATGGCCACGAGCTCCTCCATGAGAGCCCGGCTTAGCACGTGACCTAAGGGGTTAAACCCAGCCTAAGGGGAAAGTGAGGCTCGGGATGGGTTTAGGCCGAACCTAAAGGGGAAACTGAGGCTCGGGATGGGTTTAAACTGAGCCTAAAGAGAAACTGAGGCTCGGGATGGGTTTAAGCCGAGCCTAAGGGGAAACTGAGGCACGGGATGGGTTTAAGCTGAGCTTAAAGGGGAAACTGAGGCCCGGGATGGGTTTAAACCGAGACTAAAGGGAAACTGAGGCACGGGATGGGTTTAGGCTGAGCTCAAAGGGAAACTGAGGCTCGGGATGGGTTTAAGCTGAGCTTAAAGGGGAAACTGAGGCCCGGGATGGGTTTAAGCTGAGCTTAAAGGGGAAACTAAGGCACGGGATGGGTTTAAACCGAGACTAAAGGGAAACTGAGGCACGGGATGGGTTTAGGCTGAGCTCAAAGGGAAACTGAGGCACGGGATGGGTTTAAGATGAGCCTAAAGGGAAACTGAGGCACGGGATGGGTTTAGGCTGAGCCTTAAGGAAAACTGAGGCACGGGACGGGTTTAGGCCGAACCTAAAGGGGAAACTGAGGCTCGGGATGGGTTTAGACTGAGCCTAAAGTTAAACGGAGCCTCCGGACTCACCCGTGGGGTCCCCGGGGTTCACCACCCACAGCACTCGGGGCTCGCAGCGGTCCCGACATTCCCGAATTTTCCGGCGCAGCGCGGCCACGTCCACGGCCCAGCCGCGAGCCTCGAGCAGCGGGTACGGAACCGGCTCGGCCCCCGCCAGCCCCGGCAGCGCCCGGCACAGAGCGGGACCCGGTACCGGAACCAGAACCCCGGGGGGCAGCGACGGCGGCGGAGACACGAACAGGGAGAGCACGAACTGCGAGCGGCACCGGGAGCGGCACCGGGAGCGGCACCGGGAGCGGCACCGGGAGCGGCATTGCCAGTTTGGGATCGGCTCCATTCCCAGTTTGGGATCCCCATTCCCAGTTTGGGTCCCCATTCCCAGTTTGGGATCGGCTCCATTCCCAGTTTGGGGCGGAGACACGAACAGGGAGAGCACGAACTGCGAGCGGCACCGGGAGCGGCACCGGGAGCGGCACCGGGAGCGGCACCGGGAGCAGCATTCCCAGTTTGGGATCCCCATTCCCAGTTTGGGATCCCCATTCCCAGTTTGGGATCGGCTCCATTCCCAGTTTGGGATCCCCATTCCCAGTTTGGGATCCCCATTCCCAGTTTGGGATCGGCTCCATTCCCAGTTTGGGGTCCCCATTCCCAGTTTGGCATCGGCTCCATTCCCAGTTTGGGATCCCCATTCCCAGTTTGGGATCCCCATTCCCAGTTTGGGATCCCCATTCCCAGTTTAGGGTTCCCATTCCCGGTTTGGGATCCACATTGCCTTTCCCACATCCCACATCCCATATCCCAAATCCCAAATCCCAAATCCCATATCCCATATCCCAAATCCCACATCCCATTCCCAAATCCTAAATCCCACATCCCATTCCCATATCCCACATCCCATTCCCATATCCCAAATCCCAAATCCCACATCCCATTCCCAAATCCCATATCCCAAATCCCATATCCCACATCCCATTCCCAAATCCCACATCCCATTCCCAAATCCCACATCCATATCCCAAATCCCATATCCCACATCCCATTCCCATATCCCATATCCCACATCCCATATCCCAAATCCTATATCCCAAATCCCACATCCCATATCCCAAATCCCACATCCCATATCCCAAATCCCACATCCCACATCCCAAATCCCAAATCCCGTTGCTCACCGGGATCACCGTTGCGGTCCCACTGCACAGGACGATGTTTTTGGGGTCACAGGGGACGCCCCCATCCCGGAATTCCAGGAACCGGGAAATTTTGGCGGGGACCTTGTGGGATCGGTGCTCGTGGTTGTATCCCCCTGTGGGAACGGGATCGGCCCTGAATCCGGCGGGATCCCAAATCCCATGGGATCAACCCCAAATCCAGTGGGATCCCAAATCCCATGGGATCAGCCCCAAATCCAGCGGGATCCCAAATCCCATGGGATCAACCCCAAATCCAGTGGGATCCCAATCCCATGGGATCAGCCCCAAATCCAGCGGGATCCCAAATCCCATGGGATCAGCCCCAAATCCAGCAGGATCCCAAATCCCATGGGATCAGCCCCAAATCCAGTGGGATCCCAAATCCCATGGGATCAGCCCCAAATCCAGTGGGATCCCAAATCCCATGGGATCAGCCCCAAATCCCATGGGATCAGCCCCAAATCCCATGGGATCAATATTTCCACCGCTATTTCCGGA